TCCCTCTCTGTCTGATCAGGGACTCGCGCATTCGGAATTCGGTCGCACGTGTGCGACAACGACGAGAGGAGCGTGTCGGCGCGTGCCGGCGCAGCTGGACGATGGCAACATCGCCACTGGGTACCTGGATCCTCTCCTCCCCTCGCGCCTGCGAGCCGCTCGAGGCTGATTTCCGCCGCGGAACGACTTCCGCTGACTCGAGAACAGGTCGCTCCCGATTGGCGAACGACTGACTCACGCGCGGATCGGGCCAGGGCGGGGAGAGGGACGCTTCAAAGATTATAACGCGCGGAGAGAAATATATTCGACGGCAAAAATCAAAGATTACACGAGTGAGACGGGATATATTTGAAGAGGACAGAAATCGGATAAAGACTGAAATAATATATATATAATATATATATTGAAGAGAGAGAGAGATAAAAATATATATATATAGAGAGAAAGATATATATATATATATATATATATATGAATATATGTAAGGAGTGGGTGGGAGGGTGAGTGGTGGCGAAGTTTTAGGCGCATTTTCCGCGGGAGAAGAGAGAAAATCGATGGCTTCGTGAGAGGAGGAGAGCTATAGCGATGCATAGGCGATCGGTGAAGAAATCAGCTGACGAGAAACGCGCAGTGAGAGGATCAACGTTCAGAGAGGCTATCTATATATGTACTTAAGCCGTACACACACACACACACACACACACACACTGAGTGCGAGAGAGAAAGAGAGAGTATTTTTTTACGGAGAGTTCGTTTCTATCGCGCGTATCGCGGAAAAAGGAGAGAAAAAAGCAAGAGAGAATATTCTATATATATATACGTTGTCTACCCCCCAATCGGCGCTCGAAAAGGCGGAAATTGAAGCGACGTCGGCCAGGATCATCGACGGCTATCTCGCCGGCCAACGTACGGCTGGATAATCCCTCCCTCGTGCGAACGTACCTGCGAAAGAACACCTCACACCGACGAGCTCCCGGAGCCTTCATCGTGCTTCTTCTTAGCCCCCCGCGGCCCCCTCTATTCCGGGTCTCCCCCTTGGAATTCCCGAGATAGTTAGATTAGCCCGTAGGACTAAAGCTACACCGGAGGAAAGGAATTTGACGCATCCGCCTGGACGTGGGAGGGTGCGATTGATCTTGATAGTGCAAAGGACGTTTGCCTTAAACAGAGGACCTCACCGACAAACTGCGAAGGGTGTCGCGTGCGTGCACACACACACACACACACACACACTGGTACACGAGAACCCGGTGAACCCGACGACGAGCAGCGGTCGCCAAATCCCTGCGACGCGCGCTGTTCGCGCGAAACCGACGATACCGACGTGTGAAGTGATCCACGTGCACCCTCGTGATCACCGGACGCCTCTTCAGGACGAACTGAGCCTCCGGGTGAAGGTCCTCGAGCGAGCGATCTGCGCGTACGATCGCGACCGAAGGCGAACTTCGATTCCGACTAGAGTCCAACAACAAGTGCCGATTTGTTAACTCGAACCTGGTGAACGCGAGATCTCCCGAGGTGGAGAGTTCTTCAAGAGACGAGGGAGCACGCGGCAGAGCACCGAGCTTATCCCGCATCATCGACAATCGACGTTTGAGAAAATCTCACCGAGCCACGTGGGGGTACCCTTCTGCCGTCCGCGAGACAATAAAGATGACAGCGTCGGAGGAGGAACGAGACGTCGGCAGTGCCGCGAAGTCGGCCGGTGACCGGACAACCGAGGAGTCGCGGCCAAGCTTCCGCTGAAGAGCCGGCCGCGAGCTCTCCGCTTGTCTCTCGCTCGCTCAGCCGTCACCGCCGCCACCGATCGAATAATGGTAGAGCCGAGATGGTCGATCAAGTGTACGAATAGCACCCTGGACCTGCTGGACCCGAGTGACAGCTACACGGACCTGCGGACGCAGCATCGACGCCGCTGCCGGAAGTACTTTTGCCTGTGCCGCAGGCACACGATCAGCGTGATATGCATTAACGAGTCGCGCAAGCTCTACTGGTTCAATTGCCGGAACGTCCAGGAGAAGGTAAACTACGGTCTCGGCGAGGGCTACTACCACAAACTACTGCGGCTGGTGAACGGCGCGCTGAACGCCTGGGCGCAGCGCTACATCGACGGGCTGAGCGTGGCGCGTCGCGAGATTATGTTGAAGATCAACGGTAGCGCGCAGAACAACATGAAGCTGCTAAAGGAGGGCTGCTACTGCCATTACCATCCGCACATGACGGCGGACGCGTGCAACGCCGACTTTCTCAGAAGAGTCGTAAGTTTCTGGGCCGGCGAGAGCCTCAGGGGAATACGCGAGAGGCTCCGCGGCATGACGAATATTACGAAAAAGGTAGAGACACGCTCGCGAATCTCATCTTCTATCTTGAGATATGGAGATGCTTCCCTCTTGATATACTGTATATTGTACTGTACGCCCGCCCGAGACCCCGCCTCACCTTGAGTATCTTTCTTTCTCTTCTCTTTTTTTCGGGGAGATTTTTTCTCATCTAACGAAGAATTTTCACGGTCCTTCCGAAGCAAAATGGAACAAAGGGGAACGGATGTTATGGTGCTATTAGAATATTAATATTATCAACATTAATATGATTTGTGGGGGGTTACGTAATCGTTAAGAGCGTGTAACACGCACACGTGCTGAATATTTCCAGCCAGTCGCACGCCGTGCCTCTATGTTCCACGCTTGATCGATCCTTGAGTTATTCCAGTTATGTTATTTAAAATTCAATTCCCCTTTTTTACTCGATTGGTAAATTAATTGAAATCAATTTGGCGAGAAGAAGTAATCTTTCTTAATATTATTCCGTCTATTTGTTCCCTCCTTCCCGCCGCCACGTCCGCGAGGACGGCCGCAACGCGCAAGGAAACCCGCTCGTATTTGGCATGCGCTTCGGGCAGGGCCGAGGGTAGAGAGGAAAGACACGAGAGAATCCGAAGTGCTCTGCGTTTCCCCGAGATCCGTTTCCGTCGGACTTTCGTTCGTCGACCCCCCGGATACGGCTACGGTCACCACGACTGTTATCACTACTACTATTACTACTACTATTACTGTTTTATAACTACTGTTATCATCTATCGTTACTGTGTATCGCTCGCGAATCATTCTCGCCAATCGAGCTCGCATCTCATTTTCACACTCGCTATCGACAGGCATCGACTGTTCCAACGCTGGGAAACACGCGATATCGCGGCAAACGAGTGTCCATTTTTGCAAAGGTCGGGAATTGTACCGTGTGAGATTTCAAATGCGGATCAAGAGAGAAAATCTCGATCGCGCGCACCCGAGAAAAAGCGGAATAGAGATGAATGAAATGACGAGGGGATCGTACAGCGAAAGCGGTGGAATTGTTAGACGAAGCACTTTGCATCCGCCACGTGATATTGTTCGTTTCTTGTTATTCTTTTTTTTTTCCTTTCTTTTCTCTTTTTGCCGTGTGATCAAGTAGCGAGTTCCACTGCGACCCGATATCTTGGCATGTGCGCTCGCGATAATATCGGTTCGCGGAATCGACGTGATTTCTCCATATACACGGGCTTTTAAGCTCAAGTTGCATCGATATTAGCTGCGCCGTCTTTACTAGCATGCGCTCAGCCGTAACCAGGGTTGTGCCGTAGATCTCTCCGTTTACATGAATAACTTATTTTTCTCCACGTAGACAATGTAAACTATGTAAAATATTAGAAATTTCACAATACCGTGTGCAAAGAGAAGGGATAAATTATTAGTTTCAATTAGTTTAAATTATGAAATAACTCACATATCCGATTTTGATGTTCATTATGGAAATTTAATATTAAAAATTGAAAAGTTGGTACATGTTGAACACAGAAATTTTAACACTTAAATTCACCTGTGGGCTTTTAAAAAAGGAAGTTATTAGTTAGTACGTTATTACAATAGCATATTATGCGTGATACTTATTTTCCTTCTTTATCAGTGTGAAAACAAGTTCGAAGCAAATTCATTGTTGATTTTTCGTAGCATCGTAAAATATTAAAATTGTGCTGTTATATTTGAACCAAGTAATTTCACCAATTTTTAATAGGCTAGGTGAAGTTAGATATAACCTAATTTATTCAAAATATCTGTACAGTAATATAAAAGATACATACTGTAAATAATTACTATAGAAGATATTGTTAATATACAAATTATTCGGACTTACCTGTGAACTTTTGATAGAAGCAATATATATAAATAATATTTACGAGACGTAAGAAGAGAACGAGCCATTTTATAAAGATTCATAAGATCACTTATCGTCTACATAGATAAGAACATATTATACATAGTTTACACGATGTAGACGTAGACGATATTTTCCGCGTAAACGCCCAACCTTGGCCGTAACTACAGAATCCTTTGCATTTTTATCCGCCAGTTGCAATGCGAACGTGCTCTTGACTTGACATTTTCTTTTTGTGTAACAGATTCTCTAGTGATCGTATGATTGTATGAGTTTGTATGACTAATCTAACAAATAAAATTCTCCCTTATATCAGTACGTAAATAACGTGATCGAAATCGATAAGACGATTTCACGTAGATGCGGTGAAATCGTGTTAAATGATAACGAATCACTAAAATAGATCGCAAAACGGATGTCGCATTGAGTATTATAAATATCAACGAAGCAATCCCGTTGCAATTCCTATATATGCACTCTTAGATAGGCGAGGCACTTTCTCTTTCTCTCTTTCTCTGTCAATCGATTATATATATAAAGCATCTTGTCATTGTCAGTAATCCACCAGATCTGTTATCACGAGTAGCGTCGTCGGTATCATTCTACTTCACGATGTGATCGCACGTATTTTTTTTCTATCTCTCTACGCACCCTCCTCTTTATAACCATTTTCTCTCTCTATCTTTCTCCATGAACGCATCTCTTCCACATTTTTCTCTCTTTCTTTATTACGATACTTCTGCCCATCTCGATTCTCGCAGTGGGCAGCGCGGTTTCGTCGCGACTAAAGATTAAGATTGATCACTTTGCAGATGTCGGACGACGATAGGATGTCACTCACCACCGCCGTCAGCGACGACGACGACGGCGAGAGTGTCATAAATTCGCCCTATCGCGGCAAGCAGACCGGCACGGCCGCAGCTTCCTTCAACTGCACCGGTGCGGTTCGGAAGGCAGGGTACGCTATCGCCGCTCGTACTGCGTTCTTTAAAAATAATTAGCCTTGAGGGCCTGTATAAATATCTCGGCGCGATCGTGTCCCGATAAATATAAAGGCCGCAGGCGAGAGCCGCGGCATGTCGCGTCTCGTGATATTCCGCATGTTACAACTGCGAAACTGCGCGCAAACGTGTTGATCCGCGGCGAATTAATTAACGGGAAAATTGCGTGCGCGCGACGAATATTTGTCGGTGCGCGCTTTGAAATCCGCGCACCCTCTGGCAAATCGATAAAAGGGTTCCACGTAGACGTGCGATAAAATCGTGTCGAATGATACACTGAGAGAAATCGTGGCTATTTCTGGCCTCAACTATACCCTTTATGTGGTATTAATCAGAAAAATAATAATAATAATACGTATGTAAAGTTATTATCGCTGACATTGTGGTAACACTTATTAGAGAAATGGTTCTCTTCACTACCCGAGTTCACATGTCGATGAAAAATCCGGTTGAAGTCATGCAGAAATGTTCAATGTTCGACTTGATATTTACAAGACTTCATTACGATATTTAGAAGGTATTATTTAGATGTTGATGATCCTAGTCGTATTACCTAGTTTATATCATCTTTACAAAAGATATATGGATAAGGAAACATAGTTGACGCCGAAAGTGACGACAATTTTCAGCGAGACTCGTCATGTTTCCTCCGTTTCGACACTAAAAATGCGGAATTGATCGAGTTTCCTCCCTGACGTTAAAAAAATACACGGAACGGATAATAGCGACGCGTGCGGAATTCGCAGATTCCTCAGCGTGAAGAAGTGGTTGCTGCGCAAGAAGCACCAGATCGAGCTGGCCAGGAAGAGAGGTTGGAAGGGTTACTGGGTCTGTCTGAAGGGCACCACGCTCCTCTTCTATCCGTGCGACTCCCAGGAGAGCCGCGCCATGGAGGCGGCACCGAAACACCTGATCATCGTCGACGGCGCGATCATGCAGCCCATCCCCGAGCACCCCAAGAGGGACTACATATTTTGCCTCAGCACCGCGTTCGGGGACGCATACCTGTTCCAGGTGAGAGAGTCCCTCGCACCGTCGTACAATTTCTACGGGTGCCGTGCTCGCCGGAACGAATCGAGCGCGAAATAATCGCGAAAGGTGAAAGAGAGAGGCGAGACACTGTTGACGGGGATTCGCAGCTTTCATATATCAACCGCCGCGAGAAGTGCGAGCCAACTTCTCAATTGGTAGTTCGATATCACCGGCAAATAATACGGCAATTAAACTCCGAGCTAGACCGGCGCAAAGTACACGGCGAATTATCGGGAAGCGAAGACCCGGCAATTATTTCGGTTTGATTACCCCCGCGCTCTCTCTCTCTCTCACTCTCCTTCCTCAGGGATTCGACTAGTTGTATTTAATTAAAGCCCCGTCTTACGGACTATCTCGGTCACGACGAACTTTTAATGACTAGAAACGCGCCGTCACCGTGCGCCACAGATCCCGGAATTCTTTTCGAGCAACCTCGTGCCCCTTCTTCGCACGGTGACCTCTGCCATCGACAATCGATGCGATTTGTCTGCAGATTGCGTTAGGCGATGCGACCTGGCTTCTTGAACGTACAAATGGTACACTCGCCATTGCGCGATGTCCCACGATACCCGTCCATGTCCAGGTTTTCAGCGTTCAGGATCTGATCATTGGGCTCCACCTCGGTCGCACTTCATTCATTTTCGCGCATTTTGCCCACGATTGCGATAATACTTTGCGACGTTCGACGATTGAGTGAAAATTACGCGATAATTTGTAGCGATTCGGAGATGTACAATCGGCATCACGTACGCTGTACCATTTCTCAAACGGAAAATTATGCAGTTTTTAGCCTTGTATCTCTCTAGTGGCCCAATTTATTGGCAATACATTGGGCCAGTGTTGGTTATATTGGCATTCGCTGAGTGAATGTTGTCTAATATAAAATCTGTCAAACAGTCGAATTTGCAGATTTTGCGTAGTATCTGTTATAAATTTTATCGGCAGCTTGCTAGCAGGAATATAATAGGATTTACTAATAGAACATTCATCTGTTATCATGCTCATGTGAATCTGTTATCGTGCTCCGCACGTCAAATCTTGCGATATTTCCGCTAGCAAGCTGCCGACCAAATTTATCAACCGATACTGCGCAAAATCTGCTTCCGCAGATTTTGGCTGTCCGGCTGGTTTTATATTGGGCGACATTTGCCTAATGAATGCTGATATAATTAATATCAGATCAATGCATCGTCAATGAACTATGCTACCAGAGATATAACTCATAAAGCTGAAGATCGTATAAGTAACTCTAATTATAACTTAATAGGATTATAATGACTCTAATTATGACGATGAATTTTTGACCCTATGTATGCATGCGTAAGGCTGAAAATCATCTAATTTTCGATTTAGGGAATGGTATAGCATACACGACGCCAACTGTACTCGCGAATTGCGAATCATGTGTAAACAGAGGACACCGGTGTTTCCGACAAGGTCGAGAGAAAAAAACGAAAATATTCTGTCCCGTTTTATATGTTGTCAACAAACGAGGTTCTCGATGTCTTCGACGATTCTAATTTTTATACAAATATTGCTATTTTATAATATTTTATTCTCCCTTGACACCCAAACCGACAAAATATATCATTCCCCGGCGATGATAGCCGCTCGCAGCAAATTTCGAAGCGAGGTCTAAAGGTTGCTTTCGTCATCTCCGATTAACTTAATTGACCAATTAAGTGTCAACCATGATTGGTTAGTTTTGGTCAATTCCGCTTAACGACAATATAGTTGGTCAATTCCACTGGAACAATCGGCCGATCAAGCTAATCGGAGATGGTGTGATCGGCCCTAAATGGCCAGTCGGCATCGGAAGAGGAGCAACGGTGCGACAACGGCACTTTTATCCAAGTATAAGATTTGGGAACTTGAAGACTTCAAGCTCGCTTTGAATCCCTCGAAAGTGCGAGATCGCGTAGTTCGGGTTCGCGTCGATCGATTCGTCTCGCGAGACAAACGGCACGATGCGCGATCGAGGAGCGGGATTTCCAGGTGATTTCGGGACGTGAAGAACCGTGACGATCGCTCTGCGTGTCCCTCTGCTTACAGGCGCCGTGTCAAGTAGAGTTGGAGAACTGGGTGAACAGCATTCATTCGGCGTGCGCCGCCGCGTTCGCGCGCCATCGCGGCAAGACCGGCACGCTGCATCTGCTGCAGGAGGAGATCATCCGTCTGGAGAAGGCGATCGAATCGGTACGGAACATTATTCACCAGATCGGGCTTTCCAGCAGCCGGTTCGGCTAGTGACAAAGCGAGATACTTACTGCCTTTCGCCATTTTTATCGAATCTCGAGCGCTCCTTCGTCACGGGCGAATGAATCCGTGGTGCCCGTGGCGAAGAGGAAACGGTAGCCAGTAATCGATATCGGTGCACACACCGAATGCCCACAGGACCACAAAATGAAGCACATGGCGGACCTTCAGCAATCGGTGGTTTCCGACGTCGACACCAAGCAGCAAATTAACAATCAAATCGTGCAGTGGGAGGAGAATCTGGAACGGCTGCACTGCGAGCAATTCCGCCTGCGGTGTTACATGGCCAGTTTGCAGAGCGGCGAGCTGCCCAATCCGAAGGTGAGTGCTTCCTCGTTTGAGCGAAAAGTCAGCACCGGTGTACGAGGCGCATTGCCGAAGCGGATGCGCAGCTACCGGCTGAGTCCGTCATGATCGCGCAAATATCGTCTCGCCGGCGGGAAACAGTTTCAGAATTTACTCTCATCGGCACATAACTCGACGACACAAACGGCCGGTGAGTGAGTCGACGTAAGAAAGAAGAGGCAACGCGAACCGATATACGAAACGTAGTGCGCGAAAGAAAAGGTTTATTATATAAACCGACGATTATTATATAAAATTAATTTAATCAAAAAGTAAAAGAAAGGTTAGTAAAGAAAACAATCCGTTTTTTTTTTAATTATTTTTCTACGGAGATTTTTTGAAGTGTTCAATAAAAAGATAATATTTTTAATAAGTTCAGTCGAATTAATACATTGATGTATTAATTTTGGCTAAATTTATTAAAAACTATTATCTTTTCGTCGAGCATTTTCTTAAAAAGTAAAAATATTTGAGAAATGATATTTGCATCAAGAGACAGCTTAAAATAGAAATGTATCCTAAAACTGCCAGTCACACTGTTCCTCTTCCCTTATATATTTTCATGACTTATTTTCTCAATTACTACGAAGAAAACGTAGTTTTTGGTGAAGTAATACTTCCGAATATTTACCAAAAAAATAATTTCTCTTCATTAAACTTTTCCTTTTATTCTGTTTGACTTGATCGTTTACATTAGAGTTTCCGAAACACGGACGATACATTGTACACAGCCCGGAGGGGGGAGGGGGGGGGAGCAAAAAGGTTCCGCTGCAGGCTGAAAGACTCGTCGACGCGACTCCGGCTTTTCCGTGCCGGCACGGGAAAGCCGTGTCCTCGACAGTTCGCCGGCAAACAACGTTACGCGCCGCAATCCCGCCGCTATTGTCCACTCCGAGTCCCAGCGGGTCGCTGCGGATTGTCTGAAAAATCGTCTCCCTCGTGCAGCCCGACAATCAGGGATTCGTTAGGGATCCATCTGCATCCGTAGCGAGCATCTGATTTGCGCCATTCGCGTCCTGCAACGGTGCGATATCGATCGTCGGGCGGATGGACGGGGAGAAGGAAGGGGGAGTGGGGTGAGAACGCGCACAAGAGAGGGTGAGGACAAGAGAGCCAATAAATCGACGACGTTCTCGCGATCACGAGGAGTCGAAGGCCTCGGGAGGTGTGGTTCGACAGTCTGAGATAGCGACTGAGAATTAATGCGCGATATCTCATTGCGAGGGGGACGACATTTCAGTCCGCTCCATTTCTCCCGGCGATCATTGAAGGCCGACGACGTCAACGACAAGGTGGCAAGGACGACGTTAAACGTGCCACGTATCTCACTTCTTGTCCTTCAGAGTCTACTGACGCACGTGTCTCGCGCCACGAAGCAGACACTGAACAAGCTCGGCGTGTTCACCGTCTCGTCCTTCCATGCGTTCATCTGCGCGCGTAGTCCATCCTTGCTGAACAACCTGCTGGCGGGCCGCGGGGCGACCAAGAGGAGGCCGCCGCTTCTGTCGAGGTCGAACAGCGGCTCGAGCAGACGCTCGCTGCAGATCTCGTCCAGGGACGAGGAGAAGAGCGTGAAGGTGTCCGTGCCGGAAAATCAGGTACGATCGGCACATCGGGTGAGTTGACCGAGATACCGTGGTATTACACGTGACACTCTCGGCCGGCTGATAAGTACGTGTCAAACGACCCGGTGTGTTTTCCCGCTCGCTGTTCCAGCTCGTTTCGGTGTTCCTGCGCGACGCGATGACCGTGGAGGAGTTCTTGGCGAGCGCGTGCACCAGGAAGAACCTCAACCCGATGGAGCACTTCGTGCGCGTGAAGAAGCGCCGGGATATGGAGGACCACAACTACTTTGTGCCACATAGGACTGATTTGATAGAAACATATGTGAGTAACCGACGCACCGGTGATTCTGAAACTCGTGTCAACGGTCATCGCTTGAGATTCGTCCCACGTGCGTTGGAAAAAGAGTTTGGTAACAATTACCAAATATTTGTGAAATAGTTTCAACCAAATAATCTGATTGTTATAATCATTCAGTTGAAACTATTTCACGAAACGTTTGGTAATTGTTACCAAATGCTTTTTTTCACCGTGGGATACTTACCCGAATGAAAAATATTTCTCATATATAATTATATATATATATATACATATAAATTATATATTCTGTGACCGAGTGTATAAGTTGTGGACGCTTCGCTGTAACTCCGCTCAAGTAGATACAGACGCGTTACGCCAGGCATACGTCCCGTCTGACTGTGGCGCCTCTGTATCTACTTGGAGCGTAGTGCTTACGACTCGTTACGACTCGTAACCTAAAAATGTGATCTCAAAATTATTTCTTAACACATTAAGGGCGGGAGTCGTAGTACTACGATTTAGCTCGACTGCGGCTTAAAGGCGGGAGTCGTAGTAAAACAATTTAGCTCGACTGTACCTTAAAGTTTTTATGATCACACAAAATATCGCCCGCCGTTAATGTGTTAACATGGTTGAATTTGATGTAAAATTTTCTTTGACTTTTATTCCCAATTATTCTTAAATATTGATATTGGCGAAAATTACAATGAATAGTGAGAGTATATTGAAAAATAAATGTTGAAAAATATGAAATTCTTTAAAAATTTAGATATTTATAAAATTAAAAAAAAATATATAAAATTCTTCTCTGTGTGTGTGTGTGTGTGTGTGTGTGTGTGTGTGTGTGTGAGAAATCTAGATAATTATAAAATGAAATTATAATTTAAATTTTATATTGGTTATCAAAAAATTTTAATGTGATACATGCTCTCGTATGTCTCATGAATCCAAAGATATTCGCTGGCGATCAAATAAGTAGATGCAGACGCGCGTGACGTCAGTGTCACGTTTTCAGAGCTTTTCTCTCGTACGTGACCTCCTGTAACTCGGGAATTGACATTGACATATAACTCCGGTGTTCTTTTGTTGTTGCTCCGCGCGCAGTTGCATACGCACGAAATCGTGGAAGTCTGTGCCAAGATTTTATATCAAGTGGAATTGCAAAGAAACACTTTAGAGCAAATGTGGGGCTTCTCCGTCGAGGCGGAGCTCATAGAAAACTCCGACAGGCAGGACGAGCTCTGCTGCTACGTTAGTAGGGTGGAAGACAAGAGCGTCGCCATGCAAAACGGTAAGCATCCCTTATCTAGGACGACGCGTAGCTAAAATAAAACGTCCCTCGCGCGCGACTAAGAGTTTTCGATCGTTACAAGGTTTTTTTTCACTCTCTCCACTATTTATTCGCGAGTCTATTTTCGCTTTCATTATCGTCTCAAGCGTTATTGACATTTTGCGCAATCGATTAACCGTTCGCGGTAACTTCGAGGTGACGTATCGGTCACATCGGAAAGAGTCCTCTCCTCTGCTCTTATCAGTGTGAGAGCTGCATGGACAGTGAGCAAACTTCACGATCAATCTGGCGCGACGGATTTGCGTTCGATTGGTGTCGAGGCAAGGCAGGAGATAAAATGAGAATAGATATCGCGATGTAAGAGCGCGATAGATATCTGTCAACCGTCGCTCGAATAACCCCTTGCGGATCGTCCCCGAGAGAGAGAGAGAGGTGACGTTCTGCCACGAGGTCGTAGCCGGGCGTATTAATTTTTTAGACCGTGTCGGCGCCAGGATATGCAAGGACGCCATTGAAAAATCATCGATTTTCCGTGCCTTGTTGCCCGTTCGTTGAGCAAAGTCTCGTGCTCACGCTTAAATGAAGCAAGCGTAATATGCATAAAAAAAGAAGCGCATGTATATATGTATATATACGCGTACATATATATATATGCGTATATATATATACATATTTATATTTATATATGTGTATCACGCAGGGTGGGAAGATCTTAGAGCCGCAGGCGCGAACAAATCAACATGACATTTAGCGCCGCCATTCCGCGTATGGCGAGTAAATTTACCTGGCGGCTCGCTCGTTAAGCACGTCCGAAGGGGAGCGGCTTTTATTATAGTTGCGAAAGATACCGAGCCGAGCGGTTCGTCTCGTCTTCGCGAACGGGTTTCCGCGAGACGCGAGAGCGATGTCGTTGCGAGTTCACGAGTCGAAGAAAGTCGAAAAAAGTTACCTCGAAGTTACATGGGGAAGGAACACGGTAATCTTGTGGTTTGATTTTATCATTCTTTTTCCTCCGGGCACGTTCCAATCGATGTCAAATCGTCGACGTTGGGGATCAAGGAGATCGCACACGGTGGCACGCATCCGTGGCCGCGCAAAGCGACACGGACGCTCGTCTGTCGCGTTCTATTCGATTCAATTCCCCCGATCCGATGTTGTTCGCGCTCGAGTGACGAGTACTTGTTGGTCGAACGAGCGCGCGGAATTTCATCTGCGGAGAATTCTCCCCCTCCTCATCCTCCTCTTGCTTCTGTTTCTCCTCCTTCGGCACTCGAGGATCCTCGCGGGCGTCCTCACTGTCGCTTGGCGACTGCTCTCTCTTTCAGGAATCATTAAGGGCGACGAGATTATGGTAATCAACGGCGCCATCGTGAGCGACTTGGATATGATGTACTTGGAGAGCGTTCTGCAGGAGGAGGTGGGTCTCTGTATGATGATGCGATCCTCCAGGACGGAGCCTCCGGATCTCACGGGCATTATGCGAGTCACCGACGACATAATCGAGAGCTTGGTCTGCCCGCCGCCGCCCTCCGACCCGCCGGTCATCAGCGAGGAAATGATCTCCGGTCTGATTGTGCCGGCTCCCGGCTGGAGTGAGTGATTTCCGTCCTCCTCTTTTTTTCTTGTGCATGGGCAAATCAATTTCTGTTCGTACTACTGAATAGGGACCGGATGAAAATTCGGTGACGAGAAACGAGATCCCCGTCGCCGCGACCGGAGACATTCAGCCGTGTTGAAGTCTCGATTGAGATAATTGAAAATAATGTCGACCGAATATGGGAGCTCCTTACGGGAAGGTCTTTCTGTTCCTACAATCGAGCCTTTTCATCCAGTCCTTACTCTTCCCAGGCAACGGGAAATTCAGCTGCACACCAACGAAATTGTTTTCTCCGCGCGTGTGCAAATATAATCTGCCAATGTATCGTACGGTCCGATCGAGGCGCGTCGTCCTCTGACCTCGCGGTTCTCGCACTGTGTAACCGCAGGCAAGGAGAACATTATGCAAGAGTGCTCGTCGGGCGGCCACATGGACAACAGCAAGCAGACCTCGCGTACGAATTCCTTCGAGATCGAGAACCTTCTGAAGACTGCCGAGCAAGTGACGGGGATCTGTCGGTCGCCGGGTGAGACCCGGAAGTCCAGTCCCACCGGAAGCGTCGTCAGCTCCCATTCACAGGCCCTCACACCGAGCCGGCAGCTTAGCGACGCTGAGAAGCTGAAGAAAGTGATTTTAGAACTGATTGAGACTGAACGGACTTACGTAAAGGTAAGGCCGCGCGATGTCCGTCCGGTCGTTCTCGGAACTATGGCGGAACATTCCGCAACTTCCCTGTGGTCTCTGATCGTCTCGCTGGCGCTTCCAGAATTTAAATAATCTGCTGGAGAACTACCTGGAACCCCTTAAACGCGAGACCTTCCTGTCGAACGCGGAGATCAACGCGTTGTTTGGTAATATTCAGGAGATCGTCACGTTTCAACGACAGTTCCTGCAGAATCTCGATCACGCCATCGAGATGGAGGCCGATTTCAACAGCTTTGACCATCCGAGTCAATTTAAGGTGCGTGTCTCTCGCGAGAGATTTCCACCCGTAATGTATTCTGTGTTTCGTTCGTTCATGCGTTTATCTTCCTCCCTCTCTTTCTCCGGAATGAACGCGTCGCGATAAAACACTTCGGGTGCATTCACGATCGTGTCTCCTCGCTTTTCTCGCGATAGAGAGGAACGATATGCATCGTTCGGCGCGAATAATGTCGCGGTAACCGGCGCGATTGAAAAGCGATAGTTTCACCGCTGTCCTCGCTGTTGCAGGGAGTCCTGTTTTCCATTGGAAGTGCCTTCTTATATTACGTAAATCACTTCAAGCTATACAGCTCGTTTTGCGCCAGTCACTCGAAGGCTCAAAAAGTTTTACATCCAAGTAAGTTTCGCCACACTTAATATTCCCGTCCTTCTTCTCGAGAGGGGAAAAGAGAGAGAGAGAGAGCGAGCGCGAGCGAGAAAGATAGGTGACCTTCGTTTCCTCGTTCGCGTCAACGCGTCTGATCCTTCGGCCGATCGATAATTCACTTCAGCCAGGAATAACCGTTCAACTTCGGCCGGTCGAGGTGCAAACATGTTCCCGGAAAGTTCCCCGATTTATTATTCATCTCAACCTTCCGCACCAGCTGGTGACATTTTCGCGGCCGCGAAAACGGCGGCGTTAAACATTCAGCGAGATTATTTCGCCGCTTCTCGTTTTGAACGCTTGTCCATTATTTCGGGGAAATTTCGTTTCGGGTCCCTTCGGGACTTCGACGTCCTGCCTAAATACACGATTATAGCCCGTATCGTCCGTTTCCATTGGCTGCTCATAATTCTCGTCTGTCTTTCTCGCTCCCTCTGCCGCTCTCTCGCAAAAGTCGCCTTCGCACGACCATTACGACCGACTCGGCAATCTCGCTACCGATAACGATCGCGACTAATTGACTAATTTCAGACGAGGGAAATCAAGCTTTACAAGAGTTCCTGCAAGCGAGAAATCCCCGGCAGCAACACTCGTCAACCTTAGAATCGTACTTGATAAAACCTATACAAAGAATACTCAAGTATCCGTTGCTGCTACAGCAGCTTAGGAACCTCACCGACGAACGAAGCGAAGAACACCAACATTTAATCGGTAATTACCGCGCGACCGAGAATAATAACGGCCGATTTTCGAGTGTCATCGGTCGCTTAATCGCGCCCGCGCGCGTTTTTCTCGTTACAGAGGCGCTCAAAGGCATGGAGAAGGTGGCGGAGCATATAAACGAGATGCAGAGAATCCACGAGGAATACGGTGCTATTTTCGACCACCTGTTCAGGCAACACCAGAAGTCCTGCAAACAGGTGAGTCGTTTGTCACGGAAAGCATGAAAAATATTCGCCAACGCATATCGTACACTATCGCAAATTTATTTAGGTATCCCATTAGAACGTCCTCGCAATTATCATCATTATTCATAATCATAATCGTTATTTATTAAAGGGAACACTTTTTGGTTATTTAGGTGATGCGAGAAATTTTTACAGAAAAGGAAGAACAAAATGTTTATAAAATACGATATGAAAAAGAATGACATTTAACAATATAACGGCAAATCATTAAGGAACAGCAGTAGCGAATAATAATGATAATAATGAAAGTGAATTATGAAAATATGATTCAGTTATTATATACAATATGTACAGTATATATACAAGTGAGTAAAATGAAAGTATGAATGAGCAAAGATAAATCAACAATTAAAAAAAAAACGTAAATAAATGAGAAAAAATGTATAGGTGATAACTTAAAAATAATAATAAAAATAATTAAAGTTATAATTTAAGCAATTATTCATGCTCCGACGAAAGAATTTGTTGAAGTGAGTTTTTTTAAGAACATCACTAAAAAAATTAAATATTAAAGAAAATTCATTAAGTAAAGTTTATTTATAGAAATGAAATTAGCATATGATGTTTTATTATTACTTTATCGAGAATTTATTTCCATTTACTCATTACATATTTTTTACGCATGCGATTTAATATATTCCGACTCTGCAATTTTAACATTCAATAAAGAAATATTATTATTATCAATTGTACGTTTACGTGTTGATTAAATAATTTTATTCGGTGTCGCTTACACGTTAATTATATTCACTATTAATTACGCGTTAATTAGCAAATGTTGTTGACGCGTTAATTTGTCGACAGCCGATCGACTTGAGCCCGGGCGATCTTTTGTACTACGGCGGCGTCGAGTGGCTCAATATCTCCGACTTCCTCGGCAAGATCAAGAAGGGTCTCGAGCTGCACGCGATGTGCTTCGTGTTTAAGTCGGCTGTCGTGTTCCTGTGCAAGGAGAGGCTGAGGCAAAAGAAGAAACTCATGGTGAGTATCCCGAGAGGATCGCGACGTTTCCCCGATACTCGAGAGTTCTCTCTCACCGCCCTCATTGCGTTCCTCAGGGTGTCTCGACCAAGGCTAACTCCAGCGAGGTGGAGATCATCCGTTACCAGGTGCTGATCCCGGTGACGGAGGTCCAAGTCAGAGCCAGCTCGGCCAAGGACATGGAGTCCCACTTCTTGTGGGAACTGATTCATCTGAGAAGTCAATTACAGAGAAGATCGGAGAAAGTATACGTGCTGTCCAACAGGTACCTTTCACGAGAGAGCTCGAATCGCCGGAGCGACTATTCGTTATTGACGGGAACCACGTAGACGTCGAGTGCGCGACGGACGGGGAAAAATTCCTCGTGTTTCCGAGAACGAGCTCTCGAAATCGCCCGAAATTACCCGGTTCGTGCTGCGCCACGCGTATGAAGAGTTCGCTTTTACAAATACTCTTTGATTTATACCCCGCAGCAAGAGAGAGAGAGAGAGAGAGAAAAATTCATTTCGCCGATTGGCGAGGATTAGAATGTGACCGATGCGCGATGAAACAAATTGACCCAGATTCGCGGGGCAATCGATCGGCACCCGATGCGTGCCTGATTGCAATCGATTACGCGATGCTAACGTCATTTCGCCGCTCCATCATCGATCGGGTGCGAAAATTGACGAGTCTCGGAAACAAATTGCGAATGAACCCGATTAGCCGTTGTTAACTCGCGATCGTATCTTCATCGAATTCCGTTCGCTCTCGACGTTCCGCCGGCGTATCTTTCGCATTCTTCATGAAATAACTCGGGATCGGTTTATATGTTCATCCTCGCGAATTTTCATCGCTTGCGTCAATCACAAATGGCTTTTGAGGACGCGTTATTCAGGTCAAGGCTGTCCGTTCGTTCGTTCGTTCTTCGATAAACTTTAATTAACACGTTCATCGCTACAGGTCACGTAATTAATTTACGTATGAAATATAATTAACTGTATATTAAATTAATAATTAATTTAACCGATACACAGAATCAATGAAACGAACCAACGAATATGAGGTGTCCCAAAACCAACGTTCGTTCTTAACATGACAAATTCTTTGAAACATTCTGAGACGAAAGTTCAAGTATTTGTGCATGTAAACAGTATGCCGGGTTACAAAGGCATATAAGAAAGTGAAAGCATGTTTATCGCTGTTCCTTCTAAGAAAGTTTATTTTGAACAAATATATCATAAAACAGTGTGTTTTTAAATAAAACTAATTTTTTAAATCTATTTTACCGAGGAGCCACATTACCATCTCTGTTCTTCTTCGACCTATCATGCAGTGTCGTGATATTTTTATAAATAACGTCCAAAGCGATAAATATTTCACAGCTTCGAGTCTAAAATCTATTGTGGACTTTAACGAATACAATCGTTAATTTTTCACTGAAAAATATGGATTATTAACGAAATTATTGTACAAAATGGGGCGCCGCAATACCGCATTCTCCTCTGATAATAAAAACGACTGTTCGATCGCGCTCGGTCTAAATCGCCGGCGCTTCCTTCGCTTGCAGCACGACGGAATTTCGCAACGCGTTCCTCAAGACGATCCGGCAGATCATCCGGGAGTCGGTGAGAAACATGAGCATACCTTCGACGAAGCAGAACCTGAGCCAAGCGCCGATGTCGATGGCGCCGCGCATGTCGACTGGGCACGTGGAGAAGTTCGACAAGCAGGCCGGCCAGAACGGGAACGGCGCGACGATGCCGACCGGCACGCTGTCGAAGAAGGCGGTGAAGCAGCAGCTATTGGCCAGCTCGCACAAGCGGAAGTACAGCCAGTCCAAGCAGCCGGTGGAGCACGAGAGCTCGGAGGACAAGGACCAGGAGGAGCCGCCGGTCACCCAACAGCAAACGTTTCGCTCCAGGAGCAAAACCATCAGCGACACTTCCGGTAAGCCGCCGAGATCGCGATCCTGAATGACAAAGAAAAGATCTTCCTCACATGTACGTGTGAACGGTTCCTTAAATTCGACGATTTCAACGGAGTCTCGCCGGTCCATTTCTTTCTCCTCTCAACCATACGGAAAAATGAATCACGCCTCGCTCGAACGTTGCCAGAAAAGAATACGAATGTAGAGAGAGCGCGCGCGCGCGACAGAGTTGTCGTAAGAAAAAAAAAAGGAAAAGAGAGAAAAATAGCGTTGAAAACGGTATTGTTATCTTGTCGGGTTTAGGCGAGGTAAAAGTCGAAATGGATTCGGGGACGAAGTCGGAAGGTGAGGAAGACTCGCAGGCTTTTTTAGGCGAGAAGAAGACGAATCTCGGCCGCACACCTAATCATCTGACGCTGAGCACTACGTCTACTATCTCGGCGGGGAGCACTGGCAGCCAGGCTAGATTGATCCAGTCCTCCCATCAGCCCGAGAACTATCAGCCCATTACCGTCAAGGAACTCGGTGAGTCTGCCGGTTATCGCGATATTTTTATCTGACGAGCAACAAGTGGATCGTCAAGCTCTACACGCATTAGAGACTGTTTACCGTCTCTCTCTCCATTTATATATCTGTGTGTCTTTCTCTTTGCCACTTATCAGCCAACAGCCAGCTTTTATTACTATTATATTATCGTTGCTCGCTGCCGCTGACGCGCACACACACACCACACGACCAACGATGATTTGATAATAATAAAAGTCGCAAGGGAAATGCGACGCTCGATAAAATTATCGCCACGAGAGTCGCGCGATCTTTCGATCCATCTTTCCTTCCGACTTCGTCTTTACTCAGCACTTAACTCTATCGCGAGTGTGTCGCCGACGGCAAGCTCTACGAGTGATTCATTGCTAAATTTACGAACACCTATCTTCGCAACACGACATTTTCGCCCTCTCCTCCGACATTATCTCCCTCGATTTATTAACCACGTGTGGGCGAGAAAGAGATCGATCTCTTCTAACGCGTCGCGATGTGCTCTCCCACCCGCAGGTTCACCGATCTGGAAGCCACGGGAGCTACCCTCCCTGGGGGAGGCCACCACGTTGCCGCGCAAGGGTAAGTCGGCCAGCGAGTTCGCGGACATGAGCTCGAGCCACAGCGCCTCCCGAAAGTCTCTAATAGAAATCAACAATTGTGCTCAACAACCTAACTTTAATAATCACGTTTAAGTTGAATAATATCGAGGCTGACTCGCTAACGAGGTAAAAATATCGTTAAGTTCCGCCACGACAACAACAACAACAACAACCACCACCACCACCACCACCACTACCGTCACCACCGTCGTCACAACCACCACCAGCACCACAACTTACCATCACCAACATCACCACCACCACCATCACCACGACCGCCGAGTGAGACACACGGAGATAAATGTCCGATAATTACGATTGTCACGATGCCGATACGCGATATACACGCGCGTCCGCCGCCCACGCGGAGATTCGCGAAGACTGCACTTTCTCCCTCCGCTCTCTTCCTCGTTTCGTCTTCCGGCGGGAACTACCCCGTGCGAGAGCTTAAGCGCGCTTGGTATGTGTGGCTGTGTTCGCGCGTATCTGTGTGTGTCCGTGCGTACGTGTGTGTTTGTCGAACGAGCCGACAGCGAGAAGTTCGATCGGACTTGCACCTCGCCCCGCAGGATCTAATCGAGCTCGCGGAATCGGCCCTCCCACCCTGTCCAAGGCTGAGCTGAAAATGTGTCAGACGTGTATCTAACGGGAGAGTAATTATATTTTGCAGCGGCGAACGGCGGCTGGTGGGAGGACGACGCACGCGAATTCGTGGAGAGAATTTCGGCTCGCGAGTCTCGATATCGCGACCCCGAGACGATTGTTATCCCCTTTGTTGGATATTTATTAGACTGTCCGAGCGATCCCAAAACTGTATTTGCTAATGTTCGTATCCGCTCGGTGTCGCCTCGCGATCTCACCGTGTCTAACTTTAGATATCTCTACGTCCTCGTTCCACTGCACGGACTTTTTGTTCGTAAGGAGGAAGGTTATCGCCTTCTTCGGCGGTTAATATATATTTTATTCCAACGTTTGCGTGAGAGAAAGAAGGATAGCGCACCTCACGGACGGAGATAGACGATGTCGGGCTCATTGTTGGTAGTTTTGATTTTGACAATCATAAAGCGGGCGACCTCGAGGAGGCGGGACATCGGCGGACGGGTCGCTGGTTCTGAAACGAATAAATTAAGTAGATCGTTAGTGAATGTGATCGCGGTCGGTCGCGAGAGAACCGTCGTCGGAACGATGGGGAATCTCGTTTACAAGAATGCTCGGTTAACAGGCGGTGCAACCCCTTGTTTGTCTCAGACGCGAGTCGCAGTACGCCTCGTTTCTCTGTCGTCGTTTGACTTATTTTCCGCGCGATGAAAGGAAGTGCAGTCGGTTGCACCAATCAACCCCAGTCGATTAAATTTGCACTTGCTGCTCCGGACAGTTACAATCTAATTATAAGATGGTTATTATTACATAACGGTTATTATTGCGTAACACTGTCGCAAATCTCTGTCTAACGTATGTCTCTAATACCGACGACTAGTGTACAAACTTCTCGCAAGTGCAAATTTCCTTTCTCTGTTCTTTTTCTTTTATTTTTCTTTTATAATGTTGGTAATTCCTTTTTACTTGATATTACTAACGTTGTGCAAAGTTACGTCTCAGTGTTTCGCTTTAAATATTATTGTAAAAGAATTTTTAAGTACGAGACACGGCACTAAGAGCGTCGAAAATTAGACAAGGGAAAATTCGGAGGTATCGTTTTATAAATATGAAAATTCCTGTACATGACATGAGTTAAAGTGAATTCTACGCTGAATTCAAGTCTATGTAATAAAATGCTTCCTTGCGATCGCATTTATAGAAATACGTGTTGTAAGTAAATGAGGGCCGCGCTGTAAGTAGTTGCGGACGCGCTACGTCAGACCCGCTTCCTCGTCCGATCACGGCGCGTCTGCATCTACTTCGAGCGCAGCATTCACGACTCGTGTCCCGAAAATACGACTTCGGAAAATCATTTCATCGCATACGGTTGAATTTGACGTGAGATTCTTTCTGATTTCTGTCCGCGAAAAATCTCGATATTCGTAGGAAATATAACGAGAGGTGAGAGTACATTGAAAACAAAAAAATATAAAACTGTTGAAAAATCCGGTTGCATAGTTACAGAACATATCTTAAATTCTCTCGTGGGGATTTTTCTCCATATATTTTACGATTTCAAAGATACTCTCTGTAATCAACTACATGGAATCAGTTCATTAACCTCATCCGTAAAACGTGCCCTGAACGTCTTACTTTTCGCTTATCTACAATATATCCCAAGCTCGTCAAAATTAGCGAAGGACGCTACCAGACTTTCCCTTTGTAAGAGAAGCTCGATTAAGACGAGATCGAGCGATCGAGGTTATTGGTGCAACGTGCAACTCGGGAGTCCCGGCGAGGATGGGACTAATCGTCGCCGAAACGATCCTCTTCGAATATATACAATTTAACACCATTCAGCGGTATGTACCGTCGATCTCACAACAGATCGCCGGCTTACAGACCGCGATCCGGTCCCCCCTCTCGAGAGTCTCCGGTGATGAGAGGCTACGTTCACCATCCTCTCGATCCACTTCGCGTGGACGGCGGCGCGACAATCCGGAGATAATCGATATCCTGTATATAATGTAATGATATTACTATCGTCGCTATATACGTTACTGTCGATCGCGATCGAGCGCTCACGCTTTGCGTTGGTTCTCACCATCCCTCCTACATATCCCCTCCCGTACACGCCCACATACACACACACGCGCCACACAGAGACATACATGCACAACGCCACACTCCCAGCCCCACCTCCATTTTTTTATTGTATGAAACCGTCGCGATGCATCATTGACGATCGCCGGATGACAGTCAGGTAGCCGACGGACAGAGGCGGACTCAAGATCCGTATTAAAATCGAAGAAGCGAGAATAAGCACGTATATAGCGAGTAAGTTTTAGCTGACTAAAGAGAATCAATTAAGGTAAAACGAAAAAAAAAATGTGTCGTATGTAGATATATACATATATATGTATACGTACACGTGTGCGCGTAAGCGCGACGCTCGTGACGCGTGACATCGCGCGTATGCACGCGTGTACGCGGAAAATATATATGTATACATACATTATATACATACGGGAATATTATGTGAGAGCGAGGGTGAGTTTGTGAATTGCATTGTACGTCGTCCACGGTCCCCCCCCCCCAAAAAAAAAGAAACGACAAAACGTTCCACCGCGTGTTAAACCTGTTTTCAGGGTCGAGCATCCTCGCCAACATAGCAGACTTTATTTTTAACGTTACTTAAGACAAAAAGAGAGTGAGAGTGGCCGAACAAATGATAGATAGAGGGTAAGAGTGTGTGTATGCGCGAGTGCATGTGCAAAAGAAAGCGAGAGAGCGCGCGCGCGAAAGAGAGAGAGAGAGAGGGAGAAGGAGAGAGCAAGAGATGGTCAGAGCGCTCGAGACCGAAGCTGCGAGGTTGAGATACGCCGGCATGACGATAGATGCACCCGAGGTCGTGATTAAAATGTATAATGCGCCGGGCGATAAACGCTGTGAGAGAGAAAGAGAGAGAGTGTGTGTGTGTGTGTGTGAGAGAGAGAAGAAAAAAGAGTGAGACATGCGCGAGGGTGGCACGAGGAGACGAGAGGCGCGCTCACTTGACTTTAAAACGTATCGATTAGGGACGGCGAACGGTATCGAGGGGCATCGACGGTATCGGCACCGGGAAACCTTCACGATAATCTGACACATGTAACGCGTTGTTAATGGGTATTACGATAAATTAAGAATGGTATCGAGGGATTAATACGTGTAAATTAGACGACAGAAAGTATCCACATAGACGTATACCTACCACCAAAAATATATATAAATAAAATACACACACACACACACACACGCGCGCGCGCGCGCGCGTACACAATACAAGTAACACGCACATAACACGCGATCGGTGGTGCGAGCCGAGAGTGTTTCCACAGAAGACATTATTTCGAGACGCTCGCGAAGGACACCGGCGTGTCCTCGGGACGTTCCCGAGCAATGTTCCGGGGATATCCCGGGGATGTTCGCGGGGAAAGTACATTATATAGGGGCGAGAATATTTTGAAAATATTCTCCGAGGATCGGAATATTCTAAGGACATTCTGGAAATATCCTCCCGCCTTGCATCGCTGCGTTATTACCGCCGGACACGTACACAACTCGTAGAGAGAGAAAGAAGGAGAGAGAGAGAGAGTGGACGTCGCTTGTCGCGTCGCGCTTCTCAAGGTCGCGAATCGATCTGTCCGGAGGAGCACGCGAACGAGGACGTCTCGGATGGATCCTGCGCCGGCCACATTTCCCGAGAATAGGACAATAAAAAGAGACACATGATGTACGATGGTCCGGACGGTGGATCGGAGTTCCTCGACGTCAGGTTCCTCCGTCGCGGCCGAGGACACGCGCTTTCGCGTCTTCCTCGAGGAATCCTACGACTTCGATAATCTCCTTTCGCCCCGCCGTGTGATCCTTACGGTACCGCTCCGTCGTAGCGTTCCGGAACACGATCATTATACGTATATTTGTCGACTCCGTCGAGTCGATCGGGAATCTTCAATCGCGAACTTCCCTCGTGAATCCTTCCTTTGACATTCGCCCCGTGCGATCGAGGACGACGAGCTATGCGCCGAGTAAGAGCGTATCGAGACTCCGATGGGATGTCGACGCTCTCAGCTGATATATCAGGTGCTTTCCAGCAAGGAGATACGAATAGACACATAATTGAACATAGTGCATAAGAGTGCTTGATGGAACACCTTCCCAAGTAGCAAAATGACATCAAATGACGTTTTAATGACATCTTATTGACGTCGGAGACGTCATTAAAATGTTATTAGAACGTTATTTGACGTCACCTTGTTATTTGAGTTAATTTTCAAGACAGTCGTTAATTAGCGATAACATATATTAGATGTTAGCAAATATTACACACAAGGAAAAAGGTTTCTTCGGATTTAATATGCGTGTTTGTTTGACCTGGGTTTGTTTAATAAAAACAATATAATTTAATATCAAATGTCATTTTATCGAAGTGAAAAAATTGTTTTTTCACCAAAATAAACTGTTGTTTGATAGAAAAAGAAACAGTATTATTTAGAAGAAATAATATTTCGTTTTCAAAAAGAATTTATTTCATTATATGTTAAATATTATTTCACTGAAACAAAAAGAAGTTCTTTAATATATTTCTAACATATTGTAATTTTTTCCAAATAATTTATTATTTATGATAATTATTGTTTGTTGAGTGAAATATTCGTTTGCTTTATTCCAAAAGACACATTTGTTTTAATTGTATTTTAATTGTGTTTTAATTGTGTTTTAATTGTAAATTACATTTGTTTTAATGTTTAAAGAACTTTTATTAAATTCAAAGAAATTTTCTCTGTGTATAATATTTTTGAGTGAAGCACACTGAGAAAGAAGACTTAAAAATTTATTTGTGAGATTTGTGAGAGATATAAAGTTTATTTCACAGAAATAAATGTTTAAATACGACGAAATAAAATTTTATTCCTAGCAAGTAAACTAATTAATAAGAAAACTTAGGTATATTTCATAAAAATATATATTCCATCATCACGATCAAATTTTTTTTCAACCAATAAATATTGAAGAAAATGTCACAAGAAACATTTAATTTACAAAATTTCAAGTTTTTTTTTTCAGTGCAGATTTTGATCGCTGCGAAAGCGATTATAACTTAGCCAATTACGGAACTTTAATTGTTTCTGGAGCGACCCAAATCTACTTCAAAGGAAAAAGCTGCTAATTTATCCGTCAATTATAACATTTATTTATTGCCATTGCCCAAAAATGTTTTTTGTTTGGCAAAACATGAATGCTGTAGAATATTATTTACTACACCTATCAATTATTATTTACAATATTAACGTATATTTTGACGTTATATTTTATTGTAAATATGTATAGAAAGATTTAAAATATCAAGAATCATACAAAGTACTACACAGAGAGAAAACAGCTCTTCAATATATATATATATATATANACTAAAAAGTTGACAGCCACCATACTGACACAAAAATGTCCGACTCTCAAAGCTCTGCAGCTGTGTCGACTTGCGTCGTGTTGTGTCGTTGTAGAAAAGCACTAGAAGCGATATTGCGTTACGCTGTGTCAACCGTGTCTTTTGCTGGAAAGTTCCTAATAGACGAGTTACGCAATACTTCGTCCAAAGGCGAGTACTCGATACCGGGCTCGCCAAGTTCGCTCGTGTCGCTCACGCGTTAATCGTCGAAACACCTTTCGCAACGATCAATGAAGCGGTGGTCGAGGGAAACGGCATACGTGCAGCAGATCTCGGCGACATCCTCGTTTAGCGCTCCGTGCCGACGATCACGAGAGAACGAGAGTTCATTGGCCGATTAATGGGATTTGATAGTCTATCAATACTGAACACATTTGCGCACACACATATATACACGCATTTACTCCGCACATGTCGTATTCGGCGTCGATTCGCGACTCGAACGCTCGCGTTCCACGTTCCTGAGAGAAAGACAGAGAGAGAGAGAGAGAGAGAGAAGCGCGTCTCACCGCAGTATAATATTTCAATATTATAATACTGTAATATAACATGCGGCGACAAAAAGTGTACACACGAGAGGTACTGTTATATATTACGGTATTATAACAATGATATTGTGCAACGATGCTGCGACAGCGTCGTTTAAGACCACAGATCGATGACCGCGTGGCGAAAGCTGCGCGCAACATCTGCAGAGAGAGACAGAGAGAAAAAGGGAGGGGAAGGGAAGAGGTCGCTCTGAAAATCGGCGAGCGGTCGATCACATCGAGGACATCGAACGGCCGTCAGCTCGGTCGCGCGAGCGATTGTGTCCGCGTTAATGCCTCGCGGAAGGAACGATCGCGCGTCGACGCGCGAGTCGCGTTATAAGCCGAATATATTCGTGAGAGATCGCACGTCAATTATTATATTTATTATTAGTATATATATTTTCAATGAGAGAGAAAGAGAGAGAGAGAGAGAGAGAGAGAGGGAGAGACAAGTGTAACTATATACGAGTATACAAATTATATCCCGGCGGACGTTGCGTGTCGTTGTACAGTGTGCATAGTGAAGGTTACGGGGAGCATGAAGACTGTACCTGGACAGCGCAAATGTCCAAAATCGGGACATAAGACGTCTTTTGGACGTCTTAAAGTCGTGTTTAAGACGTCGTGATATAAGACGCCTTTAAGATATTTTTCAGACGTCTAAAATATACCTCTAATGTCCCGATTTTGGACATTGTGTGCTGTCCGGGTAGTCTCGGAAAAAGCCGGGTTTTCCTCAATTTTCCGCGAAATTCTTCGGTTTCTGTCCCGAGGACGAATTAGAAAAGTAGAAAAATACGTTTAAAAAAATTCACGCGTGTTCGATTAACCCACATTTGTTTCTTTTCGTACAGAAAAAAAAAAATATATATATATATATATAAAAGAAATCGGAAAAATCCGCGGGAAGATGAGAAAAACTCGGCTTTCTTTTCCGAGCTTTCAAAGCACTATAGTGAAGATATGTCTCTGATCCTTTCTGTTCCGCGAAGGGCCGCGCGGCGAGTCCGCGCGAGCGTCCTCGTATCGAACGCTGTAATATTGCTTCCACCTCGCGCTCGCGCGTCGCACGTGGCCCGTGTGTCGCATACGCGTGTTCGGAACACACGGATTTCCCGCGATTCGACGAGTCACCGGAGACGATTCGTCCTTCCGCGTCAATCGCATTAAGCGGCGAGATTCAAGCGCGATCGAACTGTCTCCCGCGAGAGCAAGGCCGAGGGAGATTTCACGCCAAGTCCTCAGACTTTTCAGTTCAATGTTCTCCATTTCTATATCCGGCATTTTTCGCACGTTTCGCGAACGTTCCCGCCCGTCGAAGCTTCCTCCGAGAGAGAAAGAGACAGGCGGGGGCACACGAGAGGATCGCTATTGTCTCGCAGCTTCTTTCGCGCTGCGAAAGCCGATCGACCGTTTGCCGGATTTAACTCGCAACCAGGCGAACGACGAGAGCTCTTTCTTTTTTTCTCCCCTCCCTCTCCACTTAAAGTCGCGTATGCGACTTGGAAGGAAAGAAGGGAGCCCTGCCATCCCACGCCAGAAGGCTCAGAAATGTCGGCGAGAATTGAACTGTAAAATCGCGACATTT